CCCTCAAAAGACGGGGAACTCCAGGAGCCAACTGTGTACTTTCCCTCGCTCTTTATCCCAGCATCTAGTGCCATGCCTGGCACATAGTAGGTGCCCAATTAATGGTTGTTCAGCAAGCAGATCCTATGAAAGAGGTGAACTTTTCTTTCCATTCCTTTCCTACGCTGTCCTCTTCTGAAGTTTAATGAGAGCTCTTAATCTTTTGCGATCTCATTGACTGCCTTGCTTGTCCAAATAACTCTTAGCTATGGAAAGCAGAAGGTAATTTGAAAGCCCTCCTCTCAATTAGTCTAGCAGCAGATGGTCTAAAGTTATCTAGCTGTCTGATGTCCTCACGTCGCACACTCACTCTCTTTTAAAAAAATTTTTTTTTTCAACGTTTATTTATTTTTGGGACAGAGAGAGACAGAGCATGAACAGGGGAGGGGCAGAGAGAGGGAGACACAGAATCGGAAACAGGCTCCAGGCTCTGAGCCATCAGCCCAGAGCCTGACGCGGGGCTCGAACTCCCGGACCGCGAGATCGTGACCTGGCTGAAGCCGGACGCTTAACCGACTGCGCCACCCAGGCGCCCCTATCTTTTTAAATAATATAGGTGAACACATGAACGAGCCTGACTACGTTCACGTAGGTAAATTAAAAAACAGATCTAGGCAATGTGTTCTAGAATGAAATATATAAAGCTAATGGTGTCTCCTTCGGTGGAGTGGTGGTTGTTGCTGGGTCCGGTTTTAGTCTCATCCTGGCCACAGGTGGTCTGTTTGACCCCGTGCAGCTGCTTAAGTCCAGCCTCTCTCCCTAGCTCCAAGGGCTATGTTACAATTGACAGGTAAATGCAAACACACTGTGGAAAACACAAAACCTTAAACAAACTGAGTTTGAAACCTAAATACCAATGGTCTCGCAGACCCATAAGCAGGCAGTTTGTGTGCATGTGTCCCTGGTCATGCACCTGTTGGGGCTGATGGGATCATTCCATCGAGCATCTTCTGGTGCACAGCTCCTCTCTGAGCTGTGCTGTAGCTGGCATAGTGAATGGTTCATGCGGCGGGACTCTGGGATGCAGCAAAGTGATAGCTCGTGAGGGTCTCGTGACTTATGCCAGGACTGGAGGTGACAGCTTCGGCCACCTGGTGCAGATCCTCTTGATGCTTCCAGACCGAGGTTGGATTTACTCAGATCCAGCCTGGTTCCAACCCGATTAGTGAGTAAAGCAGCCACGTTCACTTCTACCAGAAAAATTTCAGCCGACAGTAACGTAGGAAAAAAAAAAAAAAAGTGGGGGTGGGGGGAGGAGGGAAGCAGAGCTTTTCAGAGGAATTTCAAGAACGTTTTCCCAAAGGTTCAAACAGCCTGGAATGCAGAGTTTGGGGAAGTAGAACAGATGGCCAGAAACGTACGCAGCGTAGGCAGCTCAGGCCTGGGACGCCGTGCTGAGCACGTAACCCAGCGCCGTTGTCTGTCCACGGTAGCGGCCGGACCGCCGTGGGTTGTGTGCTCGCTGCGGATGCACAGTTGATACGAGTGAGCTATTCACATGAAGTTCGAAATCAACTGTGAGGGCTCAGCGGGAACGCACGTGGCCCTGCCATAGCAGTGGGAGCGGAGCCCTCTACCAAGTCGGAGTAGAAACATCGCTGGCTGCCCTTGCGGTGATGCCAAGTGGCTGTTAACGGTGAGGTCTGAGGTTGGACCCCAGCCTACAACTGAATTTTTCAGAGAAGGTTGAAATAGTTGCAAATCAAGTGAGTCCTGCTTTTCTTCCAGCCAGAAGAATGAGTGACTCTCTCTCAGTGTGAACCAGGCATTGCCAAATTAAATGCCTCTGATCCGGGACGGAGGCTTAGTTCTCGTTTCACAAAACACCTTCTCCCCTCCATGGCGACCGTTCAGTTGCCGTGATTTCTGTCAGTCCCTCTGGCCATATGTGAGCTGGTTCGGACAGAGCCGGGACTGCCGTCATGGTCAGTCTCACTGCTGCACGGACCTCGTGAGCTCAGGCAGCCAAGCTCACCTGGCAAAACCAGACCTCAGGGGTCTTGGTGAAAACTCAGGAGTCTGAAGTTCTGGATGTGAACACACTTCACTCATCTCATTCTTCTCAAACTCTCAGGAGCCATCAGGTTTGGGGGCATGGGTCCCTTTTCTGTTAGGCTTCTACAAAGGGGATCTGCACACTTGGCCTTGTTTGGGTGTCTCCCTGTGCTCTTCTTCAGATTGTAACCGTTCAAGGCAAAGCATAGCCGGTTCTCAGATTCCGTGGTCACTGAAGTTGTAGCTTGGGTGAGTGTGTATGTGCCCGCACATCGCACACATTCCCGCAGAGTTTGGCCCAGTGAGAAGAGTCCGAGCATTTCACGGGAAGATGGGCCCGTCCACACACCCACCCCTGAAGCCCATTTTCGGGCTCCCGTAGTCCTAATGTGAAACCAGTCGTCTCGAGGTGCTGGTGCTGTGAGTCCAGCACAGAAGACCTCCCTTTCTCACACGAACTTGGCTTCTCTTTGGTCTTATGTAGCCCTTTTTATTTTCCAAACTTCCTTTCAAGTCCTGTTCACGTTATCCAGAACATTCCACATGTGTGCAGGTCTGTAAACAGTTCATACTTTGACACTCTTGACCTGTGCCGGGCAGGAGATTATGTCCCATTCATCCATTTATTTTCCTGCTCATACAGGTTGGTGTTTTTTGAAAGGGCCCAGAGCATTGCTCAGTAATCCTGAGCTCACAGCGCGTGCCTCAGAGGGCAGTGTCCTGCTTCTCCTTATCCTTTATCTCTCTTCCACCGTGACACCTGCTCCTTTTTAGGACCACCCACCACATGCCCAGCAGCAGACTTTCTTACTTTTCTTCACGTGTTTTCTAACTTGTGCCTACAATAAGCCATGGGGTACGTGTTGCCATTTTCATCTTATAAATGAAGAAACGAAGTCTCAGGGAGGTCAAATAAATGTTGCAGCTAGGATTGAAGGCAAGGTTGGCGTGATCCCAAGACCCACACTTCTTCCACTGTTATGCTGGAAGATAATCCCATGGATGTTTTCTTCAACTAATTTATTGCTGATTTTTAAATATTTTTATAAAAGGAATACATTATTCTTTTGAAAGAAGCTGGAAAAGACGGAGAAGTATAATGAAGGAAATAAAAATACTTGTGATTCTGCCTCCCATTGACCTCTACTGTTAGTGTGTTCTTGGGTGAGGCAGACTTGGGTCTAGACTTGAGCTCACCCAGCTGGTGATGCCAATTTCCTATAAAGCAGAGAGAGAAAATGATGGATCTTCAGTTGGTTGTAATGATTAAGTGAGATGTTTTCAAAGAGCTTAACATAGGAAGGCAGCAAATTCGTCATTACTATCACTCTGCCTTGAGCTTTTCAGTGTATAGATAAGCACTTTGAGTTCACATGTGACTGTACTATATGGGTAGGTCCTGTTTGGCCAACTGCTTTTGTTCCCTTGTTGGAACAAAACATCTCTTGGGGCTCCTGGATGGCCCAGTTGATTAGCCATCCAACTCTTGATTTTGACTCAGGTCATGTTCTCGCAGTTTGTGAGTTGGAGCCCCACATTGAGCTCTGTGCTGACAGTGCAGAGCCTGCTTGGGATTCTCTCTCTCCCTCTCTCTGCCCCTCCTATGCTCGTGCTCTCACGCACACACACACTCGCTCTCAAAATAAATAAATAAATTTAAAAAAAGAAGAAAACATCTCTCCATCTCACTAAGAGTTGAGTATTTAAGTTGTTTCCCATTTTTTTTTTTCTTTTATAAATTGTTTTGTCTACTTGTGGGACAGAGAGAGAGTGTGGGGGTAGGGCCTCTGGCTATAGCTATAACATTTTATTTCTTTAAAAAAAAACCTGAATAACAATCTAAAGCAAAAATGGTTCAATATGAACTTTATTAACTTTGAACAGTATTAACTTTGAGTGGTGGGTACCTGGGGGTTGTGCTTATTTAATGAACCTTTTTCTAAATGTATAGTATTTGGTCATTTAACATTTAAAAGTTCTGATGCTGAGATGAACGTCCTTGTATATAGGGCTTTACGCATTTATAGGACAATTTCCCCAGCATAAATTCTAAAAATTGGAATTTCCGGGTCCATTAAGTCTACACAAGGGTTGAGTATCAATTTGCACATCCTCATTTCTGCACACATATCAGCTGTGGTTATCAAATATTTTATTTATTTATTTAAAAAAAATTTTTTTAAGGTTTATTTATTTTTGAGGCAGAGAGAGACAAAGCATGAACAGGGGAGGGGCAGAGAGAAAGGGAGACACAGAATCTGAAACAGGCTCCAGGCTCTGAGCTGTCTGCACAGAGCCTGACGCGGGGCTCTAACCCATGGACCATGAGATCATGACCTGAGCCAAAGTCGGATGCTCAACCGACCAAGCCACCCAGGCGCCCCTCAGCTGTGGTTATCAAATATTTTAAATACTGTTTGGAATGGATAGAGGAATTGCATTTTTAAAGAATTATGAAAGTAAATAATTTTCTATTTGTCTTTGGTAGATTCCTTTTTAAATTTTTTTTTGAAGTTTATTCATTTTTGAGAGAGAGAGAGAGAGACAGAGCGTGAACAGGGGAGGGGCAGAGAGAGAGAGAGGGGGAGACACAGAATCCAAAGCAAGCTCCAGGCTCTGAGCCGTCAGCACAGAGCCCGACGCGGGGCTCGAACTCCCGAGCCACGAGATCCTGACCTGAGCCGAAGTCGGACGCTCAACCGACTGAGCCACCCAGGCGCCCCGGTAGATTCCTTTTTATATTTTTGCCCATTTTTTCTATAGTGTGTTCCTGGTTTTTCTTAATGATTGGTAAGAGGCTCTTGTATGTTAAGGACATTAGCCCTTGATCTGGGTTATCCATAGAAAATAATTCTTCCCAGTTGGGGTGGCCCTTGTATTTTAGGTTGCTGAAGCAAGGTCAGTGAAGACCTTCCTGTTACAAAGGTCACAACTCACACCCAGGCCTTTGCTTACTTTCGCCCCAGACCTGCAGTGGAAGTCCGGTCACATGGCGGAGAGCCTCACCAACATGCCCCGGCACTCCCTCTACATCATCATCGGGGCCCTCTGCGTCGCCTTCATCCTGATGCTCATCATCCTCATCGTGGGCATTTGCCGCATCAGCCGCATCGAGTACCAGGGCTCTTCCCGGCCAGCCTACGAGGAGTTCTATAACTGCCGCAGCATCGACAGCGAGTTCAGCAATGCCATCGCCTCCATCCGGCACGCCAGGTGGGCTGCGTGGGGAAGGGAGGGGGGCGGAGGGGAGAGCCCGCTGCCATCTGGGTGCATTCCTGGGAGCCGGGTGGTGTTGCGAACAGGAATCCACACCTGCAAAGAGGATTTCATAGACGAAAGCATAGGTTCAAGGCATACTGGGGACAGATAATGGGGCTGCTTTATAATTTGCTGCTAGCTTACTGTTTGCATTGAATACATTCATTCATTTAATTTGTGTTTATCCGTGCTATAAATAGCCGATTCTTAATCACTGTGTAGGAAACGTTTTTTGATGATTGCTTTTTGGAATGTCTTTAGCTGTGCTCTCCAAACAGCATAGGTAAGCAGTGACATTCGATTTAGCGGCTTCCTTAAGGAATGACAAACAGCTTTCATCCTGCTGTTGGTGTACATATTCTATAAAACGATGTCCTTTTCTGGAGGAAAGACTCCTGGAGGGACGAGGTACCACACCAGTGGTGCCACAGAGAAAGCAGGAGTCGGGTGTCCGAAGTGTGGCATTTAGTCCCAGCCACCCCATTACTTGACTCTATTTCACACAGACCATTCAAGCCTCTGCAAACACTGGTCCCTGAACAGTGAAAAGTCCTGTCTCCCTTAGTCAAGGCAATCAAATTAAATTACAAATAGTAAAGGCTTGTATAAAGAGATAACATCCTATGTATTTCTCCAAATCTGTAACACTAACAAAATCAGCTAATCTTTTTTTTTTTACTTTTAAAAAACTTTTTAAAATTATTATTTATTTTTGAGAGAGAGAGAGGGAGACACTGAATCTGAAGCAGGCTCCGGGCTCGAAGCTGTCAGCACAGAGCCTGACGCGAGGCTCGAACTCACAAACCGTGAGATCATGACCTGAGCCGAAGTTGGACGCTTAACCGACTGAGCCACCCAGGCGCCCCCATATTTTATTTTTGCACAGGATATTTAGTACAAAAACGAGCGCACCAGGGTTTGTTAAAGGAAAGCTGTTTTCTCTTTTAATTGCTAGAATGATCTAAAGTGCACAATTCAGGAAGTCTGTGCTGTAGTAAAGAGCGGGCTGAGCTCGGTGTCTTCAGATTGGGGTCATGAGAGCTAGTAGCTGCAATACCTCTGTTGGGAGGCCGTGTAGTCGTCTTGATCAAAACACACGCAGCTCCGGATTCTGTCTGAACGGTACAGAGGCTACGAGGTTCAGAAAGTTTGCTTTCTGCGCAAGGAAATCCCCAAACCAGTTCTGAGTCAGGCCCTACGTGCTGCTCATCACTGACTCCTTCCTTGAAGGGTCAGCTTAACAGCACAGCCTCCGGGAAGCCCTGAGGCCAGTCCCTGCACGTCTTGTTTGTTTGACTCGTCCGCCAGCCTGTACATAAAGGGCCGTTTTCTTTCCGTCTCCAGCGGGTGCTGGCACACAGTCGACCCTCCTTCCTACAATCTGAGGTCTGTAGTGAAAGGACGGTCTCTGTCAGGGGTTGGTGCGGGATGTCTTGACCTGCCTGAGAGGTGACGTCATTCCAGGGCAGCAGCCTCCCAGGAGTGCTGGAGGTTCTCAGAAATCACTGGGTGAGAGGTGAAAGGTGTAAAAAGTGGAGGCGAGGAGGCAAGCTCCTCTGTTGCTCAAGAGTCTTCTCTCTCTGTTCCCGGAGGTGCTGAGCTCACCGGGAAGGAGCGGAATCGGCGGCGTGACACCGGGATGTGTTGGGAGACCCAAGAAATCCGGTTCCCTCCACCCCCGGAGGGATCTCTGGCCAAGATCCTTTTGTGTTCAAGAGGAGTATTTTATTTCAGCCCTAGCATAGTTAAGGATAGATTCTTCTGAGCTTCCCGCTTAGATAGCCCGCTAGGAAGATATTTAGCTGGATAGTCTTGGAAGGAAAGAATTAACTTAAAAGCATTTGCAGACCTGGTTCTTATTTGGTGCTGATTTTTATCAAAAATATTTACTGCAGAATTCCTAACCAGTAAGCTCCTCCATGCACCAGTGACTACCGATAAAGCCACTGAAGTTAATACAATACCTTCCCAGATATCTGGAACGTTCCCTCATAAACGTTTACTCAGCTACGACCTGTGGTTTCTACAGCCTGGCTGTCTAGAGGTCCTGGCTGGGTCTCTGGCTGGTTGGCCCCTTTTCACTCCTTTTTCCTGGAAACCCTAGAGAAGCACTGAAAAAAAAAATTAACTCTTTTTGCTGTTACCTCCTCCCTAGTTTTCAGCAGTGACCTGTAGCTTGCTCCCACTTCCCAGCCTGTCTCCCAGCTGCTGGCCTGGAGGTGACATGGGATCTGAATGCCATCAGCTGAGCAGCCACGCAGGACGAATACTGAGTGGGTCATCTGTGGCATTCACGAGTGACCGAGACAGCGTCTGGTGATTCTGATGTCAGCTCTCAGTTGATGCCGGTGCTGGGCTGTGAGGAGCCCGTTTCTCTCTCTGATTAAGAGTCATGTGTTCTGTGGCTGCTTTGCTGATCCCTCGGGCCGGAGAGAGTTTGCAGCTGACCAGTGGGAGCGCACGGGCATTCCAGGCTCTGGAGCGAGGTCACATCTCGGCTGCAGATTGCTCTCTGCTCCCCCAGCGCTAAGCACCTGGTCACACAAAACAGAACCAGGGAAGCTGAGAGAGGACCCGGTCACGTTTTCTCAAAGAGCATCTCTGGCTTTGGGCCTTTCTCAAGGTCAGATCCGCCTGCTTTCCCTGTGGTGGTGTTTTAGCTCTTGACTTCCAGGGGCACATGAGCTGGAAGAGAGCACAGTCTCGATCTGCCTGAGAATTGGCTGCCGTATGTTTTAGTGAAATAACGTGGGCAAGACTTGTCACCAGATAATCTTTGGGATGTCAGGGACATTAATGCTATCGTGGCCACAACTTCCATCATTCCTTCTAGTTTTTGTTGACATGGCCAGACACTCCGCTGAATCCTTTGGAGAGAGGGACCGTGAGTGATTCTTAGGGTCTTCAGCAAGGGTCCGCAGAATACCTCAGCTGGTTCAGACCGTGTATCCTCTGGGTGCCTGTGACTGTTCGGCTCGGCCTTTATAGTGTGAAAGTAGCAGAGACACATTATGAATGGGTGCAACTGTGTTCCAATCAAACTGTATTGAAAAACAGGCAACAGGCTGTGATTGGTTTGCAGGCTATCGATTGTTAACCCCTGGTCTACGTTATAATTTTCTCTATTTTCCAAAAAGATTTGTTTTATATTTAAAATGTACCTTTATGATAAGAAAAAAAAAAACTCTCATGTTATTTGAAGGAATAGTCACATAAATATTCCTGCAATAACACAGGCAAGCTCTTTTATTGGTTTAGTACCTGAGAGTGTTTGTTTCTTTTTCAGGTTTATTGATTTATCTTGGGAGAGAGAGAGAGAGCAGTCGAGCATGCGAGCCAGGGAGGGGCAGAGAGAGAGGGAGAGAGAGAATCTCAAGCAGGCTCCACGCTGTCGGCTCAGACCCCGATGTGAACCCATCTCATGAACCGTGAGATCAGGACTTGAGCCGAAATCAAGAGTGGGACGCTTAACCAGCTGAGTCACCCAGCGTCTGAGAGTTTAAATGGACTTCTATAGGTGTTAGCTTCTTTCTTAACACCCACCCAGTTCTGAGAGAGCAGGAAACTATAAAAAGCTATTGGTATTAGAAATGTGAGTATGAATGCACAGTCCCGTTTTACTCGATGTAAGCTTGCCACAGTGATGGGTGGAGGAGATTCAAGGAAAGTCTTGGTTCACTCTATTGTGTTTTAAAAACCACTTTAGCTTCTGTGTGGTAGCTACCGCACTTTGCGCGGAGACCCCTGTACATCCCTGGAGGAAGTGGAATGGACTTCTCAGGAGCGAGTTAAAGGACTCCAGCTCCAAGACAGTGCCAAGTTCCCTTTGTAACCAGCATTATACTTCATTCCCATACTGGTGTGGAGTTGATCTCAGTAGCACCGGGCACAAAGCCAGTTACCTGTCTAGATATGAAGTGAGGCTCCTTGTTCTTGTCCATGTCGACCGTGTGGCCGCTCCCGGCAGGGCTCAGCCCTTGCCTCGTTTTTCTCAGCGGACCCCAAACACCCCTCCTCAAACCTGCCCTGTCGATATTCAGCCCCATGACCGCAGTTTAAGGTCACAGCCCTTTGAATTATAGCTTGTTGGTAGATTGCATAACACGGAGGCATTTAACTTTCTGGATTTTGAAGAAACAGGTTCTTCTTCAAACTATGAAATCACATAAAAAATGAAACGGGTATCTTGGGGCGGCTGGTGGCTCAGTCGGCTAAGCGTCTGACTTCAGTTCGGGTCATGATCTCGCGCTTCGTGAGTTCAAGCCCTGGGTTGGGCTCTGTGCTGACGGCTCAGAGCCTGGAGCCTGCTTCGGATTCTGTGTCTCCCCTTCTCTCTGCCCCTCTTCCATTCACTCTCTGTCTCTCTCTCAAAAATAAATAAACATTAAAATTTTTTTTAAATAAATGAAATGGATATCGTAAACACATATTCAACCTATTAAGTCACTTGGATTTTTCCTCTTGGTCAGCCGACTGATTAATAGGCTGCGTGTGATTTGCTGGCCCTCCCATCAAATCGGGAAACTGCCCCATGGTTACTATGGGAAGAGGGCTTTTCACAGGGATTGTCCTATTTTGTTTAAAATGATCTAGTGGTATGTTGTTACCGACGGGTCTGGCTATTTTATGAGACCTAGATTGTCAAAGTATTTGCGCCCTAAAGTAGCTTCTGAAATTTTCAGCGTTGGGAGAAAGTATCCGGATCTAGTTGGCTTCTACACTCTTGTTCCTTTCCGTGGTCTCAGATATACGCAGGCCTCATGCAGTTTAGATAAACAGACTCCAGGCTGGACTCCAACCCAGGTTTATGGATGCACAATCCCAGGCCTCAGTGAGCCTTCACGTTTTAGCTGTGATTTCATTGAAAGCTTTTTAATCTTTCAGTAATACCCTTGGATTTCTTGGTGGCAGAACACATGAACTCATTAGTCTGTATTTTGCCCGGTGCCCATCTGGCACGGTTTATGCCTTTGTGCCCCTGAAGACCGGTAAATCTTGAGTGAATCGGAACAAAAGATGGATGAATGTTTAAGAACCAAAGGTCATATGAAGAATGCAATGTTTTCCCATCTCCCACTGTCTTCTACTCCTCACTGTATGTGAGAGGGTGGACTTCCCAAGAAAGCAAAGGAAAAACTAGGGATGGGGGTGGGGGTGGGTAGGGTGGAGGCTGTGGTAAATGAGCCCCTTGAAGTGTTTGGGGCCCATCCGACCCACCATTTTAAAATTTCAGATTCTTTACGTATTTCCTTTGTGAATCCGTTGGACTTGGAACAGTTAAAAAGAGTTGTCTCTACTAATGAGGAGGGGAGGTGGGCAAGTGTGGAAGATTGTTTAAGTCATACTGCACTCCAGGGACTTAGGGAAGGTGAGGTCTTCAGTGGGAAGAGACCACCCAGAAGTTGAATTGGCTTTATTTTCATAATCTCCATCTTAAGACTGGTTTGGCAGGAAGTCCTGAAATTGGATTTTGACACCCCTTGGCTTCTAAGCATCAGTCCTGCTGTTGTGGGGATTTTGATATATACAGATCTTTTGGGACAATGGCTTGTGCTCAAAGAAGGCGATGGCTTGTGTGTATGTGGGGGGTGGGGAGGAACAGGTGGGCGGGGTTGGACGGTGGGTAGCAGGGTGTGGACAGACATCTCCTTATTGGAAGTCCTTTCCTCCATATCCCCTTCTCCTTATGGTGGGACCTCCGATGACCTCTGAGCCTTTACAGCTCTCCTGCAAGTCCCACGGGAGAGGCTGTCTGTCCATAGTCCAGGGAGCACCGCCCGCCATTCTGTATTCCAGACACTAGAATGGATGTAAAATAAACTTGCCTCTCCAGATAGTTAAGGGTCTCAGAAGAAAAAGACAAATAGATACACGTTTTCTTGAAGCTTATTGTAGAGCTGTCATGCCTGGCTGCTTTGCCAGGATTTAACCTCGAAGCTTCAACATTAATTTGGGCTCCACGGTTCATGAAATCCATTTTTTTACCTCCTGCCCTGGAGACTAATATCTCCGCTCGTTCAGTGTTATATCCAGGTCTCTTAAATTTCTGTGCTTGCTAGGGAATGTATTTCTCAGAGTATGTTTATCATTCCATCTGATTCTTGAATCTAAATTATTCTCACCACTTGCCTTTAGTAAGGCTTGACATCCAGTGTTCATCTAACCAGAGTCTTCTCTCTCTCTGTGTGGTTTCAGGTTTGGAAAGAAATCCCGGCCTGCGATGTATGATGTGACCCCCATCGCCTATGAGGATTACAGCCCCGATGACAAGCCCCTGGTCACACTGATTAAAACAAAAGATTTGTAATCTCTTTTGGGGGGGGGAATTATTTTTCAAAAAAGATGGGCTACCACCCTCATTTAAATATTTTTAAGAAAATAAAAAGCTTAAATTTGAAATGGTAGCTGCTCAAGAGTTTTCGGTAGACTATCGAAGAACTAATTTTCTGCAGCTTTTAGTTTGGAAAAAATATTTTAAAAACGAAATTTGTGAAACCCATAGACTACGTTTTAATGTACTTTCCGCTCTTTAAACTGTATGCTTCGACTAGTGCGTGCTTCTCCCACGGGGGACACCGTCATGAAACCCAGATGGTGTTTCATGAAGTTTCTATGTGACTTGTGAGTGCCAGCTTTCTGAGTAGTTAGGAAACATGTAGAGTATGACCCATATAACAGTATAGCCGTCACCTAAAAAGAAGTCTGAAATGTTTGTTTCGTGAAAAAGAAACTAGTTACATTTATTATTCCTAACCCGAATGAAATTAGCCTTTGCCTTATTCTGTGCATGGGTAAGTAAATTATTTCTGCACCGTTTTGTTGAACCTTGCAGAAATGTTCCTTTGAGTTTGTGTTTGTCACTTTCGTAACAGTGGCCGAGCTAGGCCTTGAAAACCATGCATAGGGAAAGGGCCTGGTGAGGCAAGTTATGATCGCATCGAATCTATATTTTCTTTAAAAAGTCAAGGTTTTTATATCGTGAGTAAATTAAATTTACGTTGGAGTTGTTTGTTGCTAAGAGGTAGTCAATATAAGAGAGTACTAGTTCCTTCGTAGTGTGTATTTCTCATAATGCATCTTTATTTACATCCAGGACATGTCCGTGGCTGTATTGGATTGATATGTGCTTCTTCTGATTCTTGCTAATTTCAAAGAATATTGAATAAATGTTACCAAGTCCAGGATGCGCTTGTCCCTCGTTCTTTTAAAATTACAGAAAACATTTTGGGTTTGCTATTCATTGTCAATCTCCTTGTTTTTCACATCTTAAATATTTCAAGGAGTACGTTTCTGTGCCTTCTAGGAGCCCTCCTGACCTCCTGATTGCCAGTGACCCATCCCTCCGTTCCTTTAAACATGAAAGGTGGGGGGGGGGGCGGAAGATAAGAATTCTCATTTCCGCATTTACACCAGAACTTGCCCGTGACATGCAGCACGCGTGGCCGCTGAGGTGCTTTGGAACGTGGAAATGCTTGTAGGCATGATGTTCGGGGGACCTGCGGCCCCAAGAAATGTTTCCTAAGCGCTGGGTCCAGTGGAGGTCAAGTGAAATGGCCTTAGCAAACAGCAGTTTGGTCCTGAGGAACTTGAAGGCAGCTTAGAACCGCCCTACGTTCAATTCTATTTTGCATCCAAATGCTGCGCCCAAGTCTCGGAGTCATTTTTTAAAATTTTTTTTTATTTTATCTTCACTTGGGAATGTTTGGTAAGGCCAGGGAAAAGTCCCTGAAACCAGGTGCGAGGGAGGATTTCGGGCAAAAAGTGTTTAAGATGCTTTCCTCTCCCTCTCTTCCCTCAAACATCTGTCCCTAATCCTACAGATGATATAGCAACACACCCACGCTCTGATTATTAAGCGGTAGCGTGCGTATGTTAATATTTTTAGTTCGTATAAGTGTTTAGAAACGAACTTAGAATATGAACACGGGCGGTTGAGCATCCATGGGAACATCACAGACCTTGCTTATTTCCATCTCCTCGTCGGAAACTGTTGGTGGCGCGGCACACAGACCCTGCATGCACCGGAGGGGGCCTAGGGACTTGGGTGGGGGGTGAATTCATCCCCCCCCCCCCCCCCCCCCCCCCCCCCCCCCCCGCCGCCATGCCCCAGGGCCATCTCTGCCCCGCTGGGTCTTCCTTTGGAAGCTGCCCCATCCCACCGTCTCAACCCTTCTCAAAGTCGCTCTATGTGGTGTCCCTCGAAGAGCTTGTGGGAAATCTTTTGCCAATCGCCGTCTGTCTTTTTAAAGCAAATTAATGGAGCCTGCTAATTCAGATTACTGCCCTCAGACAGTCTGAGGGGCCGACCCCAAACACATTCAGTAATAAGACGTCCCACTGAGCATTTGTGTGTCAGGCAGATGGTGACCCTGGCTATCAAGGTCATGGCTCCTTTTGAACCAGCAGTTCAAAGAAACAAATGGAATCGCACCGCTAAGAGCCGGTGAAGGAAGGTAAACTGCCCTTGGGCGGCTGATTTGTAGCAGAGTGGATCGGAATCTTGCTGCGACCGTTTCCCTGCTAACGACTTGGGCAGAAACTCCGGACCTACGCCTCAAAACTTGGAGAATGGGGATAAACCATAGGACCTCCCGCAGGATCGTCGTGAGGATTAGGTGCCAGGATGTATTTAGATCCCTCTGCTCACCGGCAGCTCCCATTACGCATTCGGCACGTTCGCCGTTGCTGTCGTCCTTGTGCTTAGTTTAGGTACAGACCATTTCCAAGGTAGTCAGTTAGCTTGCTTTGGATGGCTGTGCCTGTGATCTTGGAGCCAGTGCGTTGTGGACGGTGGATGAGTTAGTGGTCCTCGTAAAGCCTGGGGCACTTTCTGCGAGTGTGTGAGACGCTCTTTGGTCAAGTCGTTACCTCACACTGTTGGTGAAAAAAGCGTTTGATGAGCGAGAGTAAATACCTGCCAGGACTTGTTGAACTGGTGACAGTCTCATGACTCAAGTGGGGTTGGAATTAGCCCTTTTCTAACGTGGGTTTTCACAAGGCAACTGTACGTCACAACAGGGATCCTCGCCTTCAGAGGTGTTCCAGCTCGTTTTGTAGTTTTTACGGAAGCTCTTGATTCTTGCAAGGAGATGGCACACACAGATAAATGATCTCCAAGTGATTTTAACAGTTGGGAGCTGGTTTTTTGACATGCGTACCAAGGTCTCTGCTCATCACAACCAGGCTTGCACCTGCTGGCCTTGGATCACGGACCCTGACCCCCCTCAGTGGAATAGGGACCTACTTTTAATTTCTTGGGGAAACTCCGTACTGTTTTCCATAGTAGAACCAGTGGAAATGTGCTAAGATGATCTGACTCAACAGAGTGCCAGCCATCTTGCCTCATCTGCACCCCTCCAGTGGTTTCTGGGGGAATGGACAGTAAGAGTTCCACGGAGGACAGTTTGAAAAATACTACCAGCGAATCTGTCCCCAAGACTCTCATTCCCCAGCGTGTCAATCCACCCATCTATGCAACAGGTGTTAGTGGAGCACTCGGCAGGTGTGAGGCCGTTGCCGGGGAAGTCTCCTTGACATGTCACTTCCAAGCCAGGACCTGAAAGATGGGTGACAGAGGGCGAGGTAAAGGGAAGCTTCCAAGAATGAGAGTGGACACTTCTGAGGGACTCAGAGGAGTCAGGCCAGAGCAGCGCATACAAGGTCAAGATTCGCCTGTGCTGCTCTATGACCCAGCAATTTCGCTCCTAGGTAAATGTCCAAGGGCAACAAAAATGTGTTTAAAAAAAGCCTTATGCAACTTTCCATAATAGTCCCCAACATAGTAGAAAATGAATAAAAGGACAAAACGGAAAGAGGTACTGAAATGCAGCAATGGGTCTGAATCTCGCAGGTGTAGGTATTGAGCCAAAAAGTCAGACACAGCACGGGACATAATGCATGACTCCATCTATGTAAGATTCCAGATGGGGCACAACCAGCGTGTGGTGCTAGAAATCCAAACCTGCTACTTCTGAGTGCAGAGGGCAGGGGAAGGACTGGAAAGGTCCCAAAAGGACATTTCTGGAAGATGGAAACGGTCTGTATTTTGATTCCAGTGATAGTAACAAGAGAGTACACATTTATCTAAAGTGTACGCTGAAGATCTGTGCATTTTACTGTATATGAAGTTTTAACAATCAATAAAGTTTTAAAAACATTGCAATTGGGGTGCCTGGGTGGCTGGGCCCGTTGAGCATCTGACTTGAGCTCAGGTCACGCTCTCCCAGTTTGTGGGTTCGAGCCTCACATCGGGCTCACTGCTGTCAGCGTGTAGCCTGATTCAGGTCTTCTCTCCCTCTCTCTCTGTCGCTCAAAAATAAATAAACCTTTAAGAAAATGAAATAAAAGCAACAAGCTCATGCAAAAAAACGTGCAACAAGGAAAGCGGGTAGGTTGAAGACAGAGAAGTGGGCAGGCTTCTGGGGGCGGGGAGGGTCAGACTTCCGGTGTGCTAGGACAGGGAGAAGGTGGAGGTCGTGTGTTGGTGAGGGAGGGTGGCCACGCTGCAGGTGGTGCAAGGAGAAATTAAATTCAGTTAGCGCGTTATAACCCTCAGTTTCTGGATTGAATCAGCAACTCCGTGATTTGGCAAGGTAGGTTTTGCTGGTATGAATTTTCATGCTAGTTGTTCAAATTTTCTAATCCACGGATTCAGATTGAACCCACAAACACATTCCCAGACTGTTAGGTGGCAGTAGGAAATGACTGACAAACAATTGTCATCTTTCTGTTGGCTTATTAGAAAATGTCCAGGGGCGCCCGGGTGGCTCAGTCGGTTGGGTGTCCGACTTCCGCTCGGGTCATGATCTCGCGGTCCATGAGTTCGAGCCCCGCGGCGGGCTCTGTGCTGACCGCTCAGAGCCTGGAGCCTGTTTCGGATTCTGTGTCTCCCTCTCTCTCTGCCCCTCCCCCGCTCGTGCTCTGTCTCTGTCTCTCAATAAACATTAAAAAAAAATTAAAAAAAAAAAAAAAAAAGAAAGAAAATTTCCAAATTGCTCAAGAGGATGTCCGCAAAATTGAAATCCTTCTTATTAAACTAGTCCATGTGGAAGATATTCCATGGGCAAATTATTTTTTAATAAGGCAATTTCCTATTTTCCTGAGTCAAAATACCTCTTAACAATTTGAAATTCTTCTAGTGTGGTTACCCTATACTGGAGCCCATCTTTCAGAAATGTGACTTCCATGGGGAGTTTCTGTTAAGCCATTACCGCGTGATCTTTCAGGCAGCGCGATGCGTGTAACTCCCTTAGGGACAGAAGGGCGTGATAAACATACAGAGTGGTCCTTCGATCAAACTGAGTTTTA